TTTAGACTTTTTTATGACCTGATGTTTTAAAACAGGACAGTTAAATAAAAGGTGTGTTTAACATATATATTTATATATATATGTATATGTATGTGTGTGTGTATATATATATATATATATATATATATATATATATATATATATATATATATATATATATATATATAATCACGTATGTAAATGTATTTATGGTTGTACTTGGACACTTTCATTGGTCATGGTGAACATATATTTTTGTAAATTATATTTGAATCTCTTGGAGTCGAGAATTATTCTTTTCCGTTTGCTGGACAATTTCAAAATAATTACGTCTTTATAGAACATTTACATAAGAGTCAGTTAGGCGGTGAATTACATTCTGTATCTACAGATTCGAGTCTGCACTTTCGACTTTGTGCAATTATTAAAAAAAAGCCCCCAACACACACATATATACACACACATATACTAACAAAAGTGTGTTTTTGTTTATTGTTGTGTGCACAGCAAAACTATGCATGTAAGTCAAATCATAATAAAGTATTTCTACTTCTTAGAATTTCTCAACTTGTTTTGATTAGCTTAAAATGAGAATTAATGCTATTAAATGACGCCATCCTGTTATCACCAGCTGAAGTGTTAAGTGATCTGAAAGCGTCTTCCTGGGAAGATGTATATTAAAACGATCTAGATAAATAGGACATGGTTTTAATGTCACATCGTAAAAATCTCCACTGTTGAACATCTACAGTGTTAAACAAGCCCATGTGTTGAATTAACTCTTAAAGTGTTCATGCTATACTGTACTATACTATACTGTACTATACTATACTTCAACACCTACTGAACTTCTGTGAGTATAGTAATACTGTAATTAAGGTCAATAATAATCATTTACACAACCTATAACACTAGTGAAGTATTCTCAAGTGAACTATAAAATTATAAGATTATAATCTTACTATAAGATTATTGGTCAGCTGTAGTAGATGCTTGTCGTATGCAAAGGTTTGAACACACCTGGTCAAATGATGGTTTGTTGATTTTCACTTTAAAACTTATACCTTCCCCTAATCTCAGCACTCTAACACTTGATAGTTACCTGCCTTTCACCAGATAATGTGTTAACAAATAAAGCATACATATTCTACAAACTTAAATTAGTTAACTTTTTGCCTGCAAAAAAATAGGTAAAGTTACATAATAGGTTCAAGCTTAAACAACTTTATCAGCTGTGAAACAATCCATTTCCAATTTTTAATGGATTGTTTCATTCAGTAATTAAAAACGGCTGCATATTCAGTGTCTATTGTCTTTTCTGTTTCTTCACATAGCATTTACAAGAATCAGACATCATTTCTGATGGTTCAAATGGCTTCAAATGTCTTTGTGTTCAGAAACTGCTCGTTGGCTGGTATTTATATTTGGCTAAAGGCTGAAATGATAAACCTGGATACAAAACACCAACATGGCGATAATAACAACATGTAAAATGCATCTAAACTTAACAGCATAAGAATATAACATTATGCAAAGAGAACTAATGAAAAATGAAGAGTTAATAAGCAGAGACTTACAACAATGCTAAGAATATAGTAAACGTTTTGGGCAAATGACTCTTCAGTCTGTGGGATTTAATACATTTACCGATGTAACTAAGAATCATGCACGAAATAGTACTTTACGGTACTTTAACACTGTTAGATTGAATAAATGTGTTTAAGTGGATTCCTTAGTGCTGAACCAGTAATAACTTATTATCAAAGAGGAGACCCCACCAAAACCACCACTCACAACAGCTTAGAAAAAAAATCATTTATTAAATAACATTCAAAGTCACACAACGTTTTGATCAAGTGCAATCTGAGCGTGAGAATACGTCCAGTGCTCTCAGGTGCCCAACAAAAGTCTATTAAATATAGCAGCATAGTCCATATTTCTGTACCCCTGTCATTGCAGATTTGCATATTCATTTAACATCTGGTGCAAATGCCCCAAAAAATAAACACATCGGTAAATAACATCAGCAACAACAACAACAACAACAAATCGTGAGTGCTGGTGAGAACCGGTGACCTGTGGACAGACGTGAGTTCCACATAAATATGCGACGAATATTACAAACAGACGTGAATATTTCATTCAGAAATCAGTCCTTAAATATAGATGATATCAAAACACACGTACACACCTGGAAACAGAACGTGATGCGAGATAATACTGAGATAGTCCTTATTAAAGCCCACCCTCACCTCCCACCTGTCTACTAAAAACGCCCTTTCTGAGAAATGAGAAGACGAGCAGTTTGATGTTGGTGATGATGAGGATGAGGAGGATGATGATGATGGACTGTTTGTTGCGTTTTGTGCGCAGAAGAGACGCGGAGTGAAGGATGAGAGTATAAAGTCTGTTTGGATCGTGTTGGAGAGAAGGTAGTTTACATCCCTGTCGTTTGAAGTGAGGGATAAAAAAGTCGCTACTTGGAGTCTTTTGGTTGATCCCGATGAAGAGAAGAAGATCCCTGTCGTTAGTTGTTCAGCGTTTTTGTTCAGTCAGTGCGCCGCTAAATGTTTCCGTTTATTCTAAAACGTTTTTTTTTCTTTGTTTTGTTTGTTTTCTCTTCAAAAAGTGAAGACACGGATAAAAAATTGGATTCTGATGGAGAGAAGTAGACGCTTAAAAATATGGTTCTCCAATGGTTCTTTAGCATAGACAGTAGAACCATCGAACACTCAAAGAATCGTGATTCTGCGTGCTTAAATAGTTTTTCATATATATATATATATATATATATATATATATATATATAAAACAATTTCATCATGCAAAGAATCATTTTCATGCTTACATGATTCTTTAAATGTTCATGGTTCCATTGTTGTTCAAGGTGGTTCCTTGAAGAACCACCTTGAGTGTTTTTATTTTAAGTCCTTTGTCCATCTTTGTTTTTTTCTGATGGAATGAAGTGGTACAGTTTAAAAAGTCCTTAATCAGAGTCCTGATGAAGAGCTGTGAGGTTCAGATCCAATGAGCTCCTGAATGTTTCATATTTTGGTGTATTGATTTTTCCGCAGCGTGAAGGTAGAGATACAGATACTTTTTTTGTGTGTGTGTGGTTAAAAGCGAAACAGCGGAGTCCTTTGTGGATCTTGATGAAGATAAGTGGGTTTACATCCCTGCCGTGGGGTTTTCAGGGGCTTTTTTTCTCACGGAGTAGTTGGAAAAGTCGTTGGAGTCCTGATGTGTTTAGATCCCTGTCCTTGTCTAAGTGTTTTATGCCAATACGCCTGAATATTTCATTTTTTAATGTTTTGTTTTTTCTCCATTGAGTGAAGATGGACAGAAGTTGTTTCGGGCCTTTTGGATGCTGATGATGGGAGGTTGGTTTACATCCCTTGTGTGTTTTACTGTTTTCTGAAGGAGGTCAGTTCAAAACCAAGTCGTTAATTGAAGTCTTCCGATAGTCCTGATGATGGATGGGTTCTACTTCCCTGTCGTTGTGTTCCGCAGTACTTTAATGATGGACTTTGACAGACAGAGGTTGTTTTATGAAGGTATAACTGAAGACGAAGAGTTGAAGTAAGTTCTTTGATGGATCCTGATATGTCTTTGAAGGGAAGTGGGTTTACTGCCCTTTTTATTTTCTGAAGGAGGTCAGTTCAAAACCAAGTCTTTAACTGGGGTCTTCTGATGGATCCTGATGGGTGGGCTTTAGATCCCTGTCCTTGTATTTTTTCTCGAAGTCAGTGCGCCGCTGAGTACTTCATCCTCTTCTGCTTCTGCCTCTGGTTGCAGAACCACACGCGCACCACGTTCTTCTTGAGCTCGAGCTTCTCGGCGATGGCGGCGATCTTTTCGGAGGAAGGTCGCGGCTGGATGGCGAAGTAAGCCTCGAGCGAGCGCTTCTCGGGCGCCGCGATGGAGGTGCGCTTGCGCTTGCGCTCGCTCCCGAGGCCGCCCAGAGGCGCGCTCCCATTGGCGCCGTTCGCGCGCCGGCGCTCGGCCTCGGCCTCGTCGAGCCAGGCCTGCAGCACGGGCCGCAACGCGATCATGTTGTTGTGCGACAGCGTGAGCGACTCGAAGCGGCAGATGGTGCTCTGGCTGAGCGCGCCCACGCCCGGCATGTTGAGGCTGGCCAGCGCCGCGCCCACGTCCGCCTGCGTCACGCCCAGCTTCACGCGCCGCTGCTTGAAGCGCTCGGCGAACGCCTCGAGCTCGCGAGGGTCCGACTCCACGTGCACGGCGGCTGTCGGCGGAGGAGGAGGCGCTAAGGGCGTGGGAGGCGCGGGCAGCTGTGCGTGCAGGTGGTGGTGGTGGTGAGCGTGCAGGGGCGCGTGCACGTCCACCAGGCTTGACGACAGGTGCTCCAGCAGCTCCGCTTCGAGCGACGACGGTGGATGAGGAGGCGGAGGCCCGAGGCCCCCGACCCCGTGCGCGTGCGTGTGCGCGTGCGTCGCCATGGCAGCGGCGGCGGCGTGGTGACTCGCGTCCGGCTTGAAAGCCGCGTGGCACGACGAGGCGAGGTCGGCGGCCGCCAGCATGCTCTCATCGAAACCCGCGAATATATTGGCCTGGAGCGAGAGAGAGAGAGAGAGAGAGAGAAAGAGAGAGAGAGAGAGAGAGAGAGAGAGGGAAAGAGGGAGAGGGAGAGAGAGAGAGGGTCAGCGGGGAATTGTGTCATGAGCGGGTTTAGAAAACATGCTCCAAAGCAAAAGAGAGAGAGAGAGAGAGAGAGAGAGAGAGAGAGAGAGAGAGAGAAAGAGACAGACATGAGGATCCTCAAAGCACAGATCATAAAAATTAATATGAAAGCGGTGCCCGAACAGGCGTGTGGATGAGAGAGAGGACGAGGAGGGGTGGAAGATGAAGGGGGGGGGGGCTGTAAAAGCGTGTGAAAAGTGAGAAGCTGCACCGTTAGTCAGTGCAGCGGGCGCACGTACCTGCGGGCTGTTGAGGCACACGCGCCGCATGCTGTCCAGCGCGCTGCTGAAGTGCGCTTTGCCGTTCATAGCCATCATCATGCTGCCCGGACATGGAGGCGAGGCGCGCGCTCCGCTCTCCGCTCACACTCTGAGCTCTTTCCATGAGTAGCTGCTCCTCATATCACCCCTCAACACACACGCACACGCACACACACACCTTCTGCTCCTCTTCTCAACTTACAAGCTGCAAGTGGGCGAGCGGCGCGCATGCGCTCTTCACCTAAAAGGCCTGTAGCTCTTTTAGTTTACCTTTACTTATTTACTCATTCCACACACACACACACACACACTCAGTCTTATTCATGTTTTTGAGTGTAGTCCTGATTGTCCCCACAATCATTTATTATAAAGTTTTATTGTTACTACCGCCACCAGTGGTGAGCCGTGACTATTAGAGCTAGGCCTTCAATTTTGACCGCTGATGTCAAAACTTTGTAAAAACATGAGGAGAAAAAACCCCACCGCTGCCATAATGCTAACATCTGCTGGCATAACATGATGGATTCCTATGTTTGTTAGAGCTAAGCTAACACTGAACATTGAACATTTTTGGCAGTTCTAGATTAAACGCTCAATGGCACTAAAAACATTGTGTTTTACTTGAAGTTTGTGACAGACATTTAGCATGCAGTTTACTCTGTAGCAGTTTCATAGCGACTCTTTCAGTAGAGGGGTCTGCTGTAGAGCTGCGGAGCTGCTTTCTATTTCTAACAACCCGCTGCTTTGGCTGCTCTTCCTGTGCAGTCAGTGACGTATCTAACACTTACAGAAGGCCTAGAGTGACGTTCCTTCTTACGAATTTGGTCCCGCCTAGTGGAAATCAAAACGTGATTGGTTGATTCCTCAGTTCTTGAAGTCCTAACCAATGAGAGAGCTCGTTTAGCTATATCCACCTGGATACCAGTGAGAAACACAATTCCTGGTCAATTTTCCGCTGGACGTTTCCTTTTTGTTTCAAGCCAAAACAATGAAATAAGAAAAATACCTTAATATCTGCAGAGTTTAAATACAAGTATGATTTTACTGATTCTATAAAAATAAACAAATACAAATTTTTAGTTCCTGGAAATCATTATGTCTTCTCTGAAGAGGGTTTCCCCTCTGACGACAACAACAACAACTACTACTACTACTAATAATAATAATAATGACATTGGTCACAAGTAATTATTTTTATTTGATTTTTTATTATTTGTAAGTTAACAGAACAATCGTTTTCTTTGTCACAGCTGTGGTAACCTCAATAGTTCATCTTTAGTTAGGGAACATAATTGTACCGTATTTGTTTGCAGGCTTTTTATTTTATTTTTGTCTTTTAAATGAACATGTACAAATGTATTCATTCCCCTGGAAAAGTGATTGAAGTGTACCGTTAATACTTTTAAGACCATTGTTGTTCATTTTGAGGGTATATTTACATTGTTTGTACCTTGATAAACAAAAAATAAACCTACACAGGACCTTTATTTTCTTATTATGCGATATTCAATTAACATATTATGAACTAATCAAATTATGTAATGTTTGGTTTGACAATATTTTGATTTCATTTGGCCTTTTTTTTCTTAGTAATCAAGTCTAAGCACTTTCAAACTCATTCATAATATAAAGATATAAAGAAGTATATATAAAATATATATTTCTATAAAAATGTATACTTATATAAAATATAAAGATGAATTCCACTCCTTTATGAAATGTCTGCATAATTCAATTCTTAAAATGTAAATGAAGTCATTCAGAGTGTTTTTTCTAGAGAAACCTATCAACTGAAAATTCTTTACAGAGGAGGTGATGGGAACCAGACGTCCCAAGTGTTTAAGGGAATAGTTCAGTGAAAACTCTGATGTACAGTTTTCCACTTATTCCAGATGTAGTCGTTCAGCCAAGACAGGCCCAGTGTCTAAATTTTACTTTAAAACTTTAAAGATCAACAGTCACCTTTAGTCCAAACACAAAAGTCAATCTTGTCTCTAAATACATCAACAAAACGCTGAGTTCACAGTAAATCATACTGTGTCCTAAACCACACTGACAAGTCTATGTGACCTTAATGAAGACCTGGATGTGGTCTGAGCAGACGGACCAAAGTTTTGGGGGTGTATTTACAGAAGAGATTTGGGTGACTATTGACTTGTAGTGTTAGCAATATTAGTCTCATAGCTCCAGCACTCAAGTAAAGTAGAATTTTAGACAAAATTTAGACACCATACATGTCTTGGCTGATTGATGACATCAGAGGTAAGTGGGAAATTATATGAATTAGATTTTTCACCAGACCATTTCTTTGCTTCTAAAAGATGCCTCATAGGAAGCTATTACACAAATTCATTACAAATCCAGTCTATGGCCAAAAGTATGTGACCTTCACTCTATATGAGCTTGTTGGACATCCATTCCAAAACCATGGTCGTTAATATAGAGTTGGCTCCTCTTTGCGACTATAACAGCTTTGTCTCTTCTAGGAAGGCTTTCCACAAAAATTTGGCATGTGTCTGTGGGAATTTGTGCCCTTTCAGACAAAAGAGCATTTGTGAGGTCAGACACTGATGTTGGACAAGAAGGTCGCAATCAACGTTCCAATTCATCCGAAAGGTTTTTAGTTGGGTAGAGTTCTATGCAAGCCAATGGAGTTTTTCCACACCAGACTTGTCAAATCATGTCTTTATGGACCTTGCTTTGTACACAAGGGCAGAGTCATGCTGGAAGAGGAAAGGACCTTCTCCAAACTGTTGGCACAAAGTTGGAAACATGTAATTATGACATTCCAGCGAAAAACTTGGCTTTGCGCATAGTGATCTTAGGTTTGTGTCCAGTTGCTCAGCCATGGAAACCCATTTCATGAAGCTCCTGATGACAGTTCTTGTGCTGATGTTGCTTCCAGAGGCGGTTTGGAAAATTAGTAAGTGATGCAAGGGATAAACGATTTGTACGTACTATGCACTTTAGCACTTTGTGGCCCCACTCTGTGAGTTTGTGTGGTATGCTGCTTCGTTGCTGAGCTGTTGTTGCTCATAGAAGCTTCCATTTCACAGTAATAGCACTTACAGTTGACCAGGGCAGATCTAGTAGGGCAGAAATTTCATGAACTGACTTGTGGCATCCTATGACAGTGCCGCATTTAAAGTCACTGAGCTCTTCAGTACGACCATTCTACTGCTAATGTTTGTCAATGGAGATTGCATAGCTATGTGCTTGACTTTATATATCTGTTAGCAGTTTGTGGCTGAAACACCTGAACTCCATAATTAGGAGGGACGTCCACATACTTTTGGCCATACAGTGTACGTTGCCTGATGCCTGAGAATTCCATTCTCTCTGTAAATGAGTAAATTAATCTGCAGCTATTCAACATGACATTTTTATCATTGTATCGCTCACTGACCTTACTCCCTACAGCAGAAGCCCATTACATAATAGATTGTTTACATTTATAAAATTATATTTAACCAGTTACAAAAAGTGATTGCTCAAGTGTGCTGTGAAAAATATTTCTGAAGGATAAAGTTTGCACAGTTCAAAGGCATCTTGTGCTTGAGGAGCTCGTTTGCGCAATGTTAAAATATTCATATTCAAAAAGTGTGTAACTGTGTTGTTTCTCCATTGCATGGCATCGGTTGATGCAAACTTGGTTTCTCCTTCAGTTACAAAGCACTCATATTAACTTCCAAGAAAAGTTGAGAGATTTGAACCAGTAGTGCTGCCTTGACTGACCTTTCGTAGGATTGGCTGTGGGCTTTCACAGTGCCTCACTTACCCTTGTGTAACCAGCTCAGGCAAGCGGTGGAAACAAGTTAATGTAACTGAATTTTGCAAAATTAAATTCATAAACTCTTCTCAGTACATATCATACCATTAAGGATAGAACAGTGAGAGAATATGTGAACTGGAGAGCAGTGAACCCAGGTAGAGGCGCTGGAAAAAATGCTTGTTCATAATTTATAATTCATTTAGTGCAAGATGAGTTCTCTCTGAAAAGTTTCTCATGTCTCATCCCTTCAAAAGGAAACTGCCTCTAAAAACCATAAGAATAACACTCGGTCTCTTCCATTCCTTTCCTTTGTCTGGCCGATATAAGCCACGATCCTGCCGGCTGCAGAAAGAAGAGACATGCAGTGCGGTGACACAACTGCACCACCTGATCCTGTCCACCTCTTCTGTTCCCCCAGACGCTCAATTATTCAAAAGCTATGTGGCAGGCATCCATTACCTTGTTGGCATTTTCTTATTCATTATGGAGATTAACACTGCGTACCTTTTTCACTCTTGGCAAAAATTAAAGGAGTTGTAACAAGGCAGCAATACCATGATATTCCCTGTCCATTTTATGATAGTTTTAGGATAACGACAAGTCCCTTTTAAATCTGCAGATAACATTTCAGCACATGAATATTTCAAAAGCAGAATGTAAAATGTCTCATTCATAGCTCAGGGTTTTGTCTTGATTCACATGGACACTTTTTTTTATATTACATATGGTCCTAATCCTGCCGAAATACAAGACCTCTAAGACAAAGCTTATAGAAAAATAACAGGTTATGATTTACAGTTTCAAGGCAACAAGTGGTAATAGTGTAGGTAATTAGAGTCACTTTACTGGTGGCATTTGTATAGCTATCCTGTTCACTAAATAAAATGCTGAAAATCGGTAAACTGTTATAAAATACTGACGTAATAACATTTTTAAATGAAGCATATTGTAAGTAGGAATATTAAAAGTAAATAACAATTTCTATTCATTTGTATTTATTTGATATTTGTATTTATGTACAATATGAATTTAAATAGCTTGCACAGTTAATGTGGTCCTATCATTTAACCCTGAGCACCCCCCCACACACACACAGTTCAATAACACTTTATATTACACATGGTCCTAGGTGATCCTTCCAAAATACGAAGGCTGTAAGCTTGAACAATTAAGACTAGGCCTATAGGAAAAATAACAGCTTATGATTTATAGTTTCAAGTCAACAACTGGTAATTAGATTAGGTAATTAGAATAACTTTACTGGCGGCATATTCTGCTAACTAAACAA